GCCACGGGATCTGCCTCCAAAAAGAGGTCATGTCAGTGCTAACCCTGACATCCAACTCAATTCACCATCATGTAGGCTCTTACTAGAGCTAGGCAAAGGCCAGGGACGCACAAGTGGCTAAAGATAGTTTTGTAGCTAAAGGCAGTACCTGCCCTGAAAGAGGTGATAGGTTAAATACGCAAAGCAGAAGGGAGAAGTGAAAGAGGCCCCTGAAACATGATTATTAGTCTAAACTACTCTTGTCTGGTTTGTTCCTTCTCTCTCATCCAGCAAAGAGAAATGTGTTTGCTGGACTGGGACACCAGTTTTGAAAAAAAACAATTTTTTTTTTGACATAATGCTGAAGAAAGATCATCAAAATAAAACCCACCACTGTTTCCCTTAGTGACTCATCGCAGGTGCGGGTCCTTCCCTTCAGCTCTGCTCTCACGTATGCAGGAGCAGGTTGGGGAACTTGGTTTCAGAGACTTTTGGGTAAGGGGAAGCAATGGCTAGGACTCCTCTTAGATCCTTTCCCCCTACGTGGATGACCCTAAAATACTGGCAGTCCTCATAGAAAAAAGGAGAACTATCATGAATCTCTGGAGTTCATTAGTACATAAGCAGCACACTTCACTGGAGAAATATTTTGTATGTATTGAGTCAGTCATTCTCATAAATCCCTTAACAGATAGGTACCGTCTATGCAAGAGAGCCAGTACTGTTTTAAACTGTACAGATGGAGTGGAAAGCAGTATTGTGCTTGCATACAAAGCAGCCCACTGGTTAGGATCTCTCCACGTGGTACCGCAATCCAGTTGCCTCCAGGATGGAAAGCAATAACTTGCAAGCTGAAGGATTATGCACCCCTTATTTAATCTTAACTGAATAAGATGCAACATAATTAGTAAAGGTAGAGTTACACGAGGACTCCAAGGTGAACATCCCCAGTGGCAACAGATTTTTCATGCGCGTTGCTGCATAACAGATCCAATGCATGTAATAGAAATAGGTCTACTTTGATAAATGTCTCTCAGAAGAGAATTATCTGCGCTTCTGTGACTGGCCAGAAGTATTTCCCATATCAAAGCTGAGAGGCTAACCAAAAGGCTGCTGAGCAGGCAGACTTGAGAAAAGAAATGATGCGCTGCTTGGCTTTCAGTGCCAGTGGAAATGGTAGGGCATATATTTGTGACATCCAGGAGATTAAATCAACCGTCACTATGTACCCAAGATCCGGCAGCAAAAAGGGAAGGCCAGATCTGGTTACCGAGGATTTCAGGGGAGAATGGCACCTGCTGAAACCCCTCCACCACTTATGTGCTGCATGCCAGTTGTAAAAGAAAGTATCTTACCTGAAAGACGTAACTTAGCTTGAACTGAGCTGACTTGTAAGAAGCAGGTGATAAGGATATCAATTCTACAGGAATTCACTGGGGCAAATTTCAAATTCTACTTTCCACATCTAAATGTAGTGCGGTTGGCAGAAAATAACCTTGCTCTACTTGGTTAGACATGTAAACAATTTTTTCAAAAGAACACAGTCATAGCAGCAAAGTTTTGTATGGCTGTTCCAAAAGTCCTAGGGGAGTTCCCCCCTTCCTTTATTTTTTGACATTACAGCTTATCCTGAAAGTGCATTGCTCTGTAACCAATTTAACTACGATAAATACAGCAATTTAACCCACCTATAACAAGATTCAGAGAGCCTCATGATGGATTATAGACAACCAAGCACTATATGAGAGAAACTAAGTTCAGAAAAGAAAAGGGTTTTTTTTACCTTTCAGGTTTTTTGCACCAGCCACCCTCAGTACCTGCTGATGTGAATCCTTTCTCCTTTTCTTCCAGTGACTAGATTTTTTTTGTTAGAGCCAGTCTCATAAGCATGCCAGTTCCCTTTAGTAAAAGAAAGCTAACTTCTTTTATTTCAATCTTTCATCAAAACATATGTTCATAAGCTTTCGCTACGAAGAGCGCAGCACTTTCAATAAAAAGTGCCTGCGTACTTCCTTATGAGAACAATGTACAAACAAATTGGTTTACTTATAAAAAGCACAAAGGGTGGGGCCTGCCCCTTATCCATGTGATTTGGCCTAAGCAGCATATCAGGCAAGGGGGAAAAAGTCCATAGTTATTTTCGGCTTCTTGCCAAATATTATCTTTTTTCCCATCAAACCTTTCTTCTGCATGGTACAGGTCAAATTAAATCACCATTCTGATACAGGTAATTTTCCTGAGATGTTCTGAAAGTAGGTACACCTCTTCCTCTATAAACAGCAATTCAATGCTGTGTTTTTTCATATTTTATTGCTTTTATTCAAAATCACATTAAACATTAATTAGACGAGATTGTTACAATTCTCATAACAGTGACACGGTATTGCTTCACATGGATTTTGCTTCTGCAGCTATCATAACTCTTAGGCCAAAACTGTGATCTAGTTATAGGCATAAGTAACTACAAGTTAATTAGGTCAAAAGCAGTTTAAGAGGGCTTTTCACCATGTCAGTGAGCTTCCATTTTCTAAATAAGCTCCTTGATGAAGTTACAAGTTAGGACAGGCCTGATGCATGTGAAAGGGTGAAAGCTTTCATTTATCTGTCGAAGAGAGCTGGCCACAGCGTTGCAGCGTGGTGCGCCTCATTCGGGTCAGGAAGGGATCCCTTCCCAGCAACAACACAACTGAGGCTGTGCCTTTATCTGCGATTACAATTGTTACAAAGAAAATGTGTGCCTGGTGACTTTTCTGTGAAGTGAGGAATTTACTAGTAGAAACAGAAACGTGAATGGAGCCAAAGTTTGCATTTCCAGGGAATACTGGCTTCGGGTTCACTTTGCAGGCTTATAGAAGCTTTTTGTTCGTGTTCACTGAAGCTTCCAATTTCCTTCCTGCTTTACTAGGGCCAATTGACCTCAGACCAATAACGGCAGATGTAAAGCCTGCATATGATGGATTATTAACAATCTGTCATTCTGTGCAGTGCAAAAGCTTCACAGTTTTCATTTTCTTTTTAAACATATGCCATAGCCCAATGCAGAATGTATTTCTCCAAAACCAGATTATTTTGCAGATTACCTTACTAAGAGGGAGGAAAAGCAATATTTGAGGCCCCATAAAAGAACAGGGTAGCCTGTTGAAGTAGAAAAAAAAGAACTAAACAATCATCCCTTTAAAAGTGCTATTTTGTATTTTATAGCATCATTCGAAAAGGGAGAGGATTGAGAAAAAGCATACTAATGTTGGCTCTGCTCTACTTTATATATTCTATTCCTATAGAAGTTATTGCATTGTAGTCCCGAGTCACACCATAAGAAGGCAGGAAAATTTTGGCTGTTTCTCCACTTGGCATTTTGTTGACCTTGTAACCAGAGCTGGATACGCATCCATGCATAACTTCTGAAATACCCCAGCAAAGCCAAACCTTGTGCTGTTGAGGAAGCATCAGCATCACTATCCATGTAGCAATGACCTCTTCTGACATGCTGCTACTCACCCAACCCATCACTTGCATCCGTTTCTGCAGTGGCCCATCTCAGGCCAAGAACATCCCTATGCTTTTAAGAGTAGCCATTCTGGGAATACTTTTAAATCAAAATACTTGGATACTCTGTGTATCTAAAATCTATGGCTGGAGGGACCTGACTATGTCTGTTATGAAGCCATACTAGGAGCAGGGATATTTCAAAGCATGCAGCAGGCAAGATGGGCAGATACGGGTGTAAGAAGAGGCTCGATCTGACCCACTTTTCATTTCAGTGGAAAGGACTCCACTTTTCATTTAGGCAGCAGCTTTTTCAGACAAAGTAGAACTGCAAACAGACCCAGTTGTCTGGAGGCAAGATGTATGTAAAAGGGAAACTTATATAGATACAATAGAATATATTTTTAATGCACTTTAATTATTTCTGTTTTGTTGTGCTTTGCTGTTTTCCTCCCCCAGCTTTTCCTACCAAGGAAAATTTATTTTAATAGCCTTCCATGGAAAAGGACAGAAGAGCAAAAATTCTGAATAATGACAGTATAATTCCTGTTTTACAGGAGGTTGACATCCAGTTCTCAGTCCCTTCATGCTACTTCTTAAATTAAGACCTGAACTAAGTTCTCTGTTTTGCTGGTAATATGGATATTAGTAACTGTTTCCTGCAGTTGCCCCATATTACCTTCTTAGGTTTCTTACCTTTTCTGTTTGCCATCTGTCTTATTTGACTCCTCCACCCCTTGTTAAAATATCTTCTCTACCTTTAGACAACCTAGCCAGATGCTTGACATCGGCTCCAAAAGGAATAAGCTGCTTTAAGCTTTTTTTCGTTTCCCTCTTTGGACAATCTAAGTCAGCTATGAGCTAGTTTCAGTTTTGTTTCTGCTTTCCAACTTAAAATTCTCAGTCCCCCAGCCTTGGATTTGCACAGTCTATAAAAGGACACTTAAAAATAAAACCACTTTTTTCACTGACTTTCAGATTGCCTATGGGAATTGATTGTTACTACATGTATTGAACCAAAAGTATTAGAGGTATTATTCCCCCTCAAAAACTGGGAAGAGCTTGTGCCCTCTGGTGACAGAAGCTAGTTTTTTCCAGTGGGGAAAAATAAGTCAGAGAGGGAAAAAAAATGGTTGTTCTGAGGCATGGAAAGGTGCTTTTTGTTTATTTTTAACCAAAATACAATCTAAACATTCATCTACTTTTAGTTGAAATGCTCTGAGCAACTTCAACATTTAAGTAGTTCTTGCCTTACAAATTTGAAACACCTGAGGGTAACATGCCTTTGTAGACCTGATGGTTCTACCTGAAGGAGCTTTTTCTAACTGAAACCTAGAAAACGGCACCATTCACCAAGGAAGAGTAGGGGAACAAGAGAACCACCAAACCAGACAAAGTAATCATTAGCCAGACTTCAGGGAAGATTCATGAATCTCGGCAGCTTTCAGCAGCACTGGTGGTCCTTGTGCATCTGCACGGGCTGGGCACTGCAGGCTCCTACTCAGTCGGCAAGCAGTGCCTTCTGCTAATGAATGCGCAGATCTTTGTGGGTATAAAAGGGCACTGTCAAGCAGACTAGGCTCACTCTGACTGCTCACATATCCATCTTCAGGCCCAGAGATGCCTGTAACCTCGGTGCAGGTCAAGCACACCAGAGGGGTGGGAAACTTCCAAGCAGAGAGGAAAATCAGCTCTTGGTTCCAGGTGGGAAATACTCCCAGTGAAGGTGGGGAGCAAAATGCTGCCGATAGCAGCACAAGAAGCGCTGCCTCCAGAAGGATGAAGGTCCGGGCAGCTGAATACCAAAGAGTTTTCTGTAGGGAACGTGGGCAGATTTTCCTCTTGGATGTGATTTTCCCCCTGTTAATGTGAACAAACCCTTGTGCAAAGCCGGCAGAGAAAAAGGCATCGGGCAGCGACACCCAGTGGTCACCGACTCTCATAGAGTGCGCTGGCGGTGCACACTCCCTGCAGTTGGTGCAACGTAAGGAGAAAGAGCACGATTACACTTGTGCAGATTTGAAAATTTGCCCTCTCTGTAAATAAAGAACCTCATGGTTAAATTAACTAGTTTCTCTGCTATACGGTCAGAATGGGAGTTGAATTTGATGCCGCTGCTGGAAAAGAAAAGCAACTGGTGAGACACAGGCGTTCTTCAGTTCTTCTACTTAAGATTACGAAGTTTATGTGTATGTGTAAGAGAGAAAGTAGCTTCAGGGAAAGATTAAGGAACTAAAATACAGCTATATACGGTTACTTTTTGTCCTGCTCCTGACCTGCAGCTCAGCACATTTCCGGCAAAGGCATTTTTTCCAGCCCCCCTACCCTGTCCTGAAACCAGTTTGTTTTAGGCTGGTGTAGACTGCCGCCAGCCCTACAGGGCAAGGATGTATTCCAGAGCCTAAGAATTAGCATAGCATAACAGGGTTTTAGTTATGACCCCTTTTTTTCCCAGCCTTTTCTATAAGAAGAGTTTGCCTAAGAGCCGCTGGTAATTTTTTACCAGCCAAAAAAACTCTCTAAGCAAGGGCACAAAAAATTGATGTTTTGGTTTGTTTTTTCTTAATCCCATGGTTTTATATAGGAAAAAAAAAACCCAAAATGTTTAAGTGTCTGGATTAAGAATGAAATATGAGATAGGTGTAAACCTAAAAAATCATATACAGTTGTCTTTGGAAAGTATTTTCACATTTGAATGATCCTTGGGCCAATGGCCTTTGGAATCAATTGTGTGAAATAAAGCCCAACATCTAACAAAACCAAAGACCATATTAAGGCTTTGAATAACGCAGCTCAGCCACTGATTTACCTCCTTCAGCACAATACCATGATAGAGCCAACCCTACCCTTGACTACCCTGGGAACCTACAGTTGAGCAGCCACACGCTGTTGAAATCAGGGCTCCCTCCAATTATGGACAAATCCTCACTTTGGGGTGAAATTCAGTCTGGAAAGGACCAATGCAAAACTTGTGCAATAACTTAAAAATACTGCCCCCTAGGCCTATGTGGAAATTTAGTGGCATGCCGACCCTCAGCAGTTTTGTGGTTCTGGCCATTTTCAGGGTAGGTGTGTAGTGCACAACACTAGGGCTGCAACAAATCTTTCACCCACAAAGGAGTATTTTCCCAATGTCACTGAACTGTTTGGGGTGCTTGTGTCTCCTGCCACTGTATATTATTTTTTTGCATATTGTTGCATATTTACATTTCACTGTGTAACGGAGAATTACTTCATATGCATTGAAGGAGTTTCAGTAACTTCCTACATGTGTTTTTCATACATGCAAGATAAAAAGATTTCCTTGGATGTCCAACTGAGATAGATGTGCAGTTATCACAGCTCAGCTGTCACAGGTTAACTCATTGGGCTATGATGTACCTGAGCCACAGGGAAAGTCTTAATTTCTTCTGTTCACCACTGACATTTGAAGTGCTATGAATACATCCTTATGTAAGCAGAGACAGGATTTTTTCTTTTTTTTAAATGGAAAACTTTCATGAGCAT